TTAACACACGCTACAGCTGAGTCCCCGCTCCTCTGCCTACACCACAAACTCTTGAAACATTGTCATTCTCAATAGTGAACTCCTGGTTCAACCTTGAAGCCGAGCGGACGTCTGGACACCTCCTCCGCCTAGGGGTCGCCTGGTCACGTCTTGTTTTCCTGTTTTGGCTTTGCTACTGCCGCTTGGCATCCCTTTTCAGCGGTCCGATTGTACGACGCCTGGCGCACGGGGCAACCCGTTCTCGCAAATTCGTATAGTCAATATTGACTTATTAACTACGTGCATAGGTGATATACTAAACATAATAGATACCCTTAAAAAGCTTCATAGAAAACACCGACCTTACCTAACCTTGTTAGTATCTTAAGATAAGTATCTTATTGCTTCGCAATTACAATTATTACTTAACCTATACCTATAATAGGTTAAGTAACAATTGTAATTACGAAGCTATAAGATGCTTATCTTAAGATACTAACAAGGTTAGGTAAGGTCGGTGTTTTCTATGAAGCTTTTTAAGGGTATCTATTATGTTTAGTATGTCACCTATGCACTTATTTATTAAGTCAATATTGACTTTACGAATTTGCGAGAACGGGACGGGTCAAGTCGTCTACTGCAATTTCGGATACCAGGCTAGAAACAACTTCGTTCACTGAGAAATTTGTACATACAAACCATTTTGTTCATATATGCGCTGGTTTGTGTTCGCTGCTGTTCTCGTCTGAATAAATACATGACACTTCATCATATAACTAGCACTTCCATTAACAATGCTTACCGCACTGTTTGTATTACTTTGTTTGTTAACAAAGCGCTCTAACTCTCAGGGGGGAAAGCGCTGTAACGTACGGTTATATTACATTGTTGGGTTGCGGTCCGTCTAATTACCACAAGCTTCAGAAAGCTTACTGGCAATACGTTAGTAATGAATAAATATGATATATTTACTCATTATAATGTTGGTGCTGAATGTACAACGCGAAAAAACATAATTTTAATCTGAAAAAGTATCTTTTTATAAAGAAATTAGACGAAAATAAAAAGCTGGTGACGCCAAATCAAGTCGACAATCCAAGCTTCAGTTAGGTTTGGTTTGGTTAGGTTAGGTTAGGTTAGGTTAGGTCAGGTCAGCCTAACCTAACATATCATATTTATTCATTACTAACGTATTGCCAGGAAGCTTTCTGAAGCTTGTGTAGCTTGTGGTAGCTTGTGGTAATTAGACGGACCCTTGGGTAGATGAGATACACAGTGTTTAGTTAGTTTTATATTTATTTAGTAGGGCTGGATACAGCAGTGTCGTAGACGTTGAGACGAAGCTTGGAGCAGAGGAGAGAGCTGAGTGTGGCCGTAGTCGCGGAGCTCTATGTGGGGAGAGCGTTGTAGCTCAATGCGGTCCTAGTCTGCTGCCTGTTCTGTGTCGAAGCTGTAGTGTCTTGGAGATGATATACAAGACACAAGATACATAGACACTGTTAATGTACAGTGTCTTGTATCCTGGCGCACATATCGCCTTGGGTCACAGGATTGTTGATAGATTTTTTTTTGACGTGTTCTGGCTGGTTCTCCAGACGGGGTGACTTTCAGGTCAATAAAGAGGTCAATTGGGAACTACTTTTGTCATGGGCTGTGTAGATTGTATCAAGCAGACTAATAATGGCATCAGTGGTACTCTTATTTTTTGGGGGAAATATAAGCCAAACTGGCATTGATTTATCATGTTGAATTTTACATGGCAGGAGTCGAGCCATTTGTAAATAATTTGTTCATATATTTTTTATAGTACATTATTGGTAAATTTGATATATTGATAAATTTGATAAATTATACATATAGATACTTAATGAAGCTGCCAGAATCAATTTGTTAATTCCTTTGTTTACAGGTTTGATAGAAAATATGAAAGTTGATGCCCATGCCAAGCTGTTGTATATGTAAAGTTAAAACTGTATAGGTGTTTCGACACCTCGTTTTCTAATTGTTAAACGGTAGACATCGTTAGGTTGGGTTTGGCTGGGTTAAATTTTGTAATAATATTCTTTGATGTGAAGCCTGGCATTAGGCTTTAATGACAGGATTATAAGTTGTCTAAAGAAATCAATCCCTGGATCAATCCCTTACAGGCATCATGGTGCATGCTGGTTGCATAGTTCACTAACCTTATCCCTGTGCCAATATGCTTGGTGCCTGTAATTTCTCTGTTCACTTCACATGCCCTTTCAGATTCCCTTAAGCAACATAAATTAAAGTAGCAAGATTAAATTGAAATATAAAACAAAACCTTCCCCCCCCCCATCATTGGGTAATCTCACATCATTAATGTTTTACAGGAAGACAGTTCTTTCTTATCTGATGTAAAATGCAAGCAAGAAGATACTGAAGTTTGACAAAGAGACCTGAACTTGGAAGAAACTACTGTGGCAAAGATGATGGTCAGAAAAGCAATCTTTCTCGGCTATCAGCGAACTGTATTGGAGAATTTAATGCGTTGCCAGTTTTCTTCAGCATCGGTGATCCATTCAAAATATAGAACTAATTTGGCCAAAAAGTTTCTACTACAAAATGAAGGCAAGAAGAGGTAATACAATACATCTTCATCCATACTCATTGCCAGTTTCTCAGTCCAGTGAGGGGGGGGGTATATATTTACACTACCTGAATTAATCTAACGACCATCATCTTTAGTGCCCTCGACGGGGATAGGAAATCAGCGGCTTGTCAAATAAACCCCCCCCCCACATTGTTCTTGAGTTTTTTTTTCAGCTATATATGCTGGGCTTTCCATATACATTAAAGTGCAGTCCTGTTCATTTATTGTCAACCTATGCTAGTCCCTTCCACATACAGGCATGTATTTTAGCTTTACTAGCAGGATTGAGATTTGGCTCATAGGTCCCATTTCAAACTCTTGGAACTAGTATGCTGTATTTTCTCACAATTTGATCTTATCCACAATAACATTTATTCTTTTCTAATAACCCTCTTCAGGTGCACAATCACTTCCTCATTTTGCTAAACTTTTTTGTTTCTTCTTTACACAGTATGAATCCAAAATACTCTACAGTATATGAATTCTCAACTAATTTCAGGGCTTTACTGTCCCTTTCAATCATAAATGTCATAACAAAATTCAGTTTTATAATGTTAGGCTTCAGTAAGAAAATTTGAACTGCTGATTTTACCGTAATCAGTCATTCAAATTTTCTTACATTTTGAAAAGAATCACCTTGTCTAAGCGACAGTTACTTTCATCTTGCTCATTATGTACAAATGACTTACCACTTCATGTAACTTGTCACTTTCTACTGTCATTATGGAAGTGCTAAAACTGCATGTGCAAAATATAATTAAATAAATATCTCTGATATACAGTTTACTGTATAGTGAACAATTTATCCAAAGAAAGTCATTACTTATGATAGGGCAATCCCTTACCTATCCCTGAGAAAGCACCCTGTGATTGGCTGAAGACAATTGGTCAATTACTTAAAATACAGTACTGTATATTGATGATAGTTTTCTCACTCATCCATACTGCATAATCACATCATCTTTTCAATATTTGTTTTCATAAGACAAATAATATTAGTCCAACCAATTGACATATATTTTCTGAGTGATAAACAAATGGAATGGATTACTGTATCAGAAAAAAAACAGGCAAGACTAATACTGTATATACTGTATTGTATTTATATATACCTTGAGGTTACCTTACCTTGAGGTGCTTCCGGGGCTTAGTGTCCCCGCGGCCCGGTCGTCGACCAGGCCTCCTGGTTGCTGGACTGATCAACCAGGCTGTTAGACGCGGCTGCTCGCAGCCTGACGTATGAGTCACAGCCTGGTTGCTCGGGTATCCTTTGGAGGTGCTTATCCAGTTCTCTCTTGAACACTGTGAGGGGTCGGCCAGTTATGCCCCTTATGTGTAGTGGAAGCGTGTTAAACAGTCTCGGGCCTCTGATGTTGATGGAGTTCTCTCTGAGTACCTGTTGCACCTCTGCTTTTCAACGGGGGTATTCTGCACATCCTGCCATGCCTCCTGGTCTCATGTGATGTTATTTCTGTGTGCAGGTTTGGGACCAGCCCCTCAATTATTTTCCATGTGTAAATTATTACGTATCTCTCCCGCCTGCGCTCAAGGGAGTACAGATTTAGGCTCTTTAGTTGGTCCCAGTAATTTAGATGTTTTACTGAGTGGATTCTAGCAGTAAAGGATCTCTGCACGCTCTCCAGGTCAGCAATTTTTCCAGCTTTGAAAGGGGCTGTCATTGTGCAGCAGTATTCCACTCTAGAGAGCACAAGCGTTTTGAAAAGTATCATCATCGGTATAGCATCTCTAGTGTGAAAAGTTCTTGTTATCCAACCTGTCATTTTTCTTGCAGTTGTGACGGCTACTTTATTGTGTTCTTTAAAGGTAAGGTCTTCCGACATGAGTACACCCAGATCCTTTACATTGCCTTTTCGTTCTATGTTATGATTTGCCTGAGTTTTGTACGTGGTTTCTGTTTTTATATTTTCAATTTTTCCGTAGCGCATGAGCTGGAACTTATCCTCGTTAAACACCATATTATTTTCTGTAGCCCATAGAAAGACCTGATCTACATCTGATTGGAGGTTTGCCGTGTCCTCTATGTTGCCAACTCTCATGAAAATCCTAGTGTCATATGCAAAGGATGATACAGTGCTATAGGTTGTGTTCTGGTCTATGTCCGATATGAGGATGAGAAAAAGTACTGGAGCAAGCACAGTACCCTGGGGGACTGAGCTCTTCACGGTTGATGGGCTGGATTTTATTTTGTTGACTATTACACATTGGGTTCTGTTAGTCAGGAAATTGTAGATCCATCTGCCTATTTTCCTGGTAATTCCTTTTGAACGCATTTTATGTGCAATAACACCATGGTCACATTTATCAAAAGCTTTTGCGAAATCTGTGTAAATTACATCAGCGTTTTGTTTGTCTTCCATAGCATCTAATGCCATATCATAGTGGTCCAGCAACTGCGACAGGCAAGAGCGCCCTGTTCTGAAACCATGTTGTCCGGGGTTATGGAGATGCTGTGATTCCATGTATTTTGTGATTATATTTCTTAGCACTCTCTCAAAAATTTTTATGATGTGCGATGTTAGTGCTATTGGTCTGTAATTTTTTGCCTCTGCCTTATTTCCTCCTTTATTGAGTGGTGCTATCTCTGCTGTTTTTAGTATGTCAGGGATAACGCCAGTATCTAGGCTTTGTCTCCACAGAATGTGAAGGGCCTGCGATAGTGGTTTTTTACAGTTCTTGATGAATATGGAGTTCCAAGAATCCGGGCCTGGTGCAGAGTGCATAGACATACTGTTTATGGCTTCTTCAAAATCTAGTGGGGATAGGGCGACGTCTGATATATGATTTGATGTTGGTATCATATCCATGAAAAATTCATTTGGGTTATCAATCTTTAGCGCATTTAATGGCTCGCTGAAAACAGAGTCGTACTGCTTCCTCAGTAACTCGCTCATTTCTTTTTTTGTCATCGGTGAAAGTTCCATCTCCCTTTCGCAGGGGCCCGATACTAGATGTGGTTTTTGATCTTGATTTTGCATAGGAGAAAAAATATTTCGGATTTCTTTCTATTTCACTGATGGCCTTTTGCTCTCTTTGCCTCTCCTGGGTTTTGTATGATTCTTGTAGCTCGAGTTCAATTGTTTCTATTTCTCTACCTAACCTTCTTTGCCGTTCTTGAGATAGGGTGCGACTCTCAAGTTGTTCCGCGATTCGTTTTCTTCGCCTATATAGGGAACGACGTTCCCGTTCCAATCTGCATCTCTTCCTCTTTTTTCTTAGTGGTATGCGGTTTGAACATATTTCTAGTGCTACTGAGCTTATTTTTTCCAGGCACTGGTTCAGGTTTGCATTTTCTAGCTGTTCTTCCCAGTTTATTTCTGTGAAGTCCTGGTTTATTTGCTCCCAGTTTATCTGTTTATTATTGAAGTTGAATTTGCTGAAATCTCCTCCACCGGGAATCTGGACTGGTTTTGAAGGTCCATTCCCCATGGTTGTCAGAACTTCAATTAAGTTGTGATCTGAGTAACTGGTACTGTATTTGTAATCATTATGTTCCCGATCAACTCATCATTATTAGTGAAAATGAGATCCAGCGTGTTCTCCTTCCTAGTTGGTTCTACTATTTGCTGGTTTAAGGCAAATCTATCGCACATCCGTAGCAGGTCATTTGCATGTGCCTGTTCATTTAGGCTACTTCCTGGTATTCTTTCTGATATTACTGTATTAGCCAGGTGCTTCCATTTCAGGTGCCGTAGGTTGAAGTCCCCAAGCAGGATGATGATCGGAGCTGGATTTGTGAGGTTTTCCAAGCAGTGTTCTATTTTCATTAGTTGGTCTTTAAACTGCTGAGAGTTTGCCTCCGGTGACTTATATGCAAGGACAACAACTACATTTAGGATCTCTATTTTGACTATCAGCACTTCCACCATATCATTTGAGGTGTTTAGCAGCTCAGTACAGATGAGTGTGTCTTTGATGTAGAGGCTGACCCCACCCTGAAGCCGGTGTTTCCTATCACATCTGAAGAGATTGTACTCTGAGATCCATATTTCACCATCAAGGTAGTCCTTTGTGTGAGTTTCCGTTAGGGCTGCAAACACTGCATTTACCTCATGAAGGAGACCATCTATAAAGTGAACTTTGTTGGATTTGCGTGTTTTTATACCCTGGATGTTGGCAAATATAAATGATGTTATCGTGTTAGTGGAAGTGCTGGATGCTTTACTTGGTGTTAATATCTGAGGCTCTGGTAAGGAGGCCACTGTGTTTGCGTCCTCTCCAGCATTTGACCGAGTTGGTGGTAGAGTCTGGTCATTTTTAGCCATTCTTCTCCTCCTCCTCATGTTAAAAAATTATCCCGGTCGATGGAGTAGTGGCTGTTTTCATAGTGGTAGTCTGTCGGTTTTATTCGCCTGGTACCTCTTATATGAAAAGCTGGACATTCAGCATTGAAGCACTCTTTCCTGTCCAAAGAGTTCTTGCAAATTTTTGGGTGGAAGAATTCACAGCTTTTGGTACATTTACCTGTATTGAGGAGGTTTCTGCACTTTCTAGGGTGATCGTATGTACACGTTCCATTTATTCTTCCCGATTCCCCATGCTTACAGGTTGCCCATTTGTAATACCAACAGATTTTGGGGCCTTGTTTTGTTTGTTTCCCTTTGCCAGGGACCGCACTCTGCTGCGGCGTCCCCGACACTGTGCCCTGCTCCGGTGCTTGTGACACCGCGCTCCGCTCCGGGGCCTGTGACACCGCGCTCCGCTCAGGCGTCCCCGACTCCGCGCCCTGCTCAGGCGTCCCCGACTCCGCGCCCTGCTCAGGCGTCCCGCGCGCTCTGCTCAGGCGTCCCCGACTCCGCGCTCTGCTCAGGCGTCCCCGACTCCGCGCTCCGCTCAGGCGTCCCCGACTCCGCGCTCCGCTCAGGCGTCCCCGACTCCGCGCTCCGCTCAGGCGTCCCCGACTCCGCGCTCCGCTCAGGCGTCCCCGACTCCGCGCTCCGCTCAGGCGTCCCCGACTCCGCGCTCCGCTCAGGCGTCCGAGACTCCGCGCTCCGCTCAGGCGTCCCCGACTCCGCGCTCCGCTCAGGCGTCCCCGACTCCGCGCTCCGCTCAGGCGTCCCCGACTCCGCGCCCCGCTCAGGCGTCCCCGACTCCGCGCCCTGCTCAGGCGTCCCCGACTCCGCGCCCTGCTCAGGCGTCCCCGACTCCGCGCCCTGCTCAGGCGTCCCTGACTCCGCGCCCTGCTCAGGCTCTGCTGCCACCGAGTTCTGTGCCACAGCTGGTTGTACCTTGGTGTCATGTACAGTTTGTTTGAAGACATTAGAAATTGCTATGCAGGCATTAATTAGTAATTCTGTTTTCGGCGGGAGTTTTATCAAGGATTTCCATCAATTTCAAAAAAGTTACATCATCCTTTTTGCAGAGCCAGTACACAGAGTGGTCACTGGGACCATTTCTCCTTGAATTGTTAGTCATGTTGGCACATTTTTTGTGTATGGCTGCTGAACAGAGTTGGCATTGAAAGCTCTGTTGGTAATCTACCTTCATTTTGCATTCTATGCACGTTTTTATCAAAGCCATTTTTTGAACACTTCTGTTCAGTGGTAATGGTCTTACAAGGTGGGGTGTTGACCGGTGGGGGGGTTGACCGCGGGTGCTGGCTGTGGGTATTGACCATGGTGTTTACCAACTTGAGACAGGCCTGGAGGAGGCTGTATGGATGGCCAGTGTTGCTACCATGTGTCGCACTCTTAATTTATTTTGTTCACTTGTTAGATTACATTACTTTCATTTTCCCACTAGTTACCTTACAGCGGTGACGTCTAGTTTCTGTGTCTGGGCATAGTTACCTGAGTACGTTACACTATTTGAAAGAATACACACACAGAGGGTACTGGGGTGGGCCTACCTCCAAGTGGCCCTTGTTTACATAAACACGACGGACTTATTTTGTGTATAATTTGTTCACTTGATATTAAAATATGTTATCTTAATTTTTGTTATAATAGACACAGGTTTTGCATAGAGAGCTTAGCACTATGGGCACTGATTACTTGATGTTTCAATAGCGAGAAATGTGATTTATTGACGACTAGGCAACTATCGCCTAAGGCCTCCTGGCACCACGAGGGCAGGCCTTGACTACACACGAGTTTCACTTATTTTTTCTTGAACACAAACGATCGGATGGTAATCACTATGATATATTGGTTAATATGCTGAGACACACTTTAAAAGTTATTTGACTGTGTTTAGTTTCTGTATCACTGAAATATCCCTAGATATATATTGTTTTCCGCGGAGCTCTCACCGCGTGGCCCTTTCCCTCTCACACCCAGAAACAGAACCCGTATATACTGTAAGATTTTAAATACATTTCTTCAGATTCATAACTTTCATTGTACCAAAATGAACTTATCATTTAATTAATTTCCTTACTTGAACCCAATTAATTCTTGCCTGTTAAATATCTTTGTACCTTCTTTCTGAGCTAGGCTGCTTGGTTACTTTCTTAGGCTATATCCTGCTCTTCCCAGGACAGGATTAACAACAGTGTGACACTGTTGACATTTGCTTTCCATTATGTCAGGGAACTTTTAAAATGTCATCACTGGGTGACAGTGGCAGACGGAAGAGACTGGATTACTCCGTCCAGCCTATATGAAACCTAATTTTTTGCTAAAAAGAAAACCTCCAAGCATTACGTGGACTTGACGGTGATTACTAAGGACCGTCTTGTCGATCTTCCTGGATACTGTACTATCTTTAGGTTATCTTGAGATGATTTCAGGACGTAGCGTCCCCGTGGCCCGGTCCTCGACCAGGCCTCCTTTTTGTTACTCACCCCCAGGAAGCAGCCCGTAGCAGCTGTCTAACTCTTAGGTATCTATTTACTGCTAGGTGAACAGGTGCATCAGGGTAAAAGAAATCTGCCCATTTGTTTCCGCCTCCACTGGGGATCGAATCCAGAACCTCAGGACTTAGAATCTGATTGCGCTGTCCTCTTGGCTGTCAAGCCCCTACCCCAGACAACCACCAGGTGTCAACACCCTACATGTTAACACTTTCTGCGGATGAGGACTCCTCCTGGCATCCTGTTTCGCCTACCCGCTCCCGCATGGTGGACATAAATTTATGTCCTCTTTTAAAATATTTGTATAAAATTCAATTTTTATCCGATTTACTTTAGGTTTGTTTCAAACTGCACGCCATGAGGCTCTCTTTCTCACCAATAGGCTGCATGGTACAATAAGTTCATGAAAGGTTCACAAACATAACAAAAGTAAAAACATTTCGTGTGTGTTTGACTCTCACTGATATGTTCCAGCTTTGTTTTATATTTGGCGCTATTCTATCTTACGCTTTGTTGATCTTTTTTACCTACGGGCTCATAGAACATTCTATTGCGAACACATTGACACAAAAATGAATGACGTACATAGAATAATAATGTCATGAGAGTGAAATAAGTATAAACTTTCAAAACGCCGTGTGTCGTCCCGTCACCGATACCGGGTAACAATTTCACCACTTCCCACACTCTTGCGGGCGGGCCGCAATCATTATTCTACGCTTATATTCATATCACCGTGTTGGGAATTTCATTGCGAGTCCATTGATACCAAAATTAACGCTGTACGACAAGTGTGGAGGTGATAACAATCCCAAGAGTAAAAACATTTTGTTGCTGTTGGGTGCTCACGGCGAGTCATCCTCGTAGTTATTTATTTGGTGCTGGTATCCCTATACGTTTCGTGACTTTTTTTACTGATGTTCTTCTAGAGAATTTTATTGCGAACACGTTGGCACCAAAATGAAATACGTAGCTCGAGAACTAAGGTCAGGAGAGTAAAAAGAGTACATGTATACACATTTTTGTTTTTACGCTTACGCGGCAAAACGCCGTGAACACATACCACTTTTTTTTTTTACCTTCGCCGGGATACTGAAAGTTTTAAGAGAGTTAGAGAGAGCAACCATCTTCACATTTAGACTGGCTCTCTCCTATTATCCTGATCCCCATTTTTCAGATTCTTAGATTATTGTAACGTAATATGTCCAGTTCTGCTAATCCCTATTATCTGTGAAATCACATTGCAATTTGGGGGCATAGAACACTTATTTATACCAAATAACACAAATTTCATTAATTTCCTACATATTCTTTTGCATTTTCCTATTAAAATATTACGTATAATTATAGCACATGTACTGGTATCTGTTAACAATTAATACCAAAACCACCAAAATATCCATAAAATTATGGCATACTAAATTTCCTGGGAGGGGGGGGAGGACCTTTCAGTAGGTCCCCGTAGCTAGGCAGTGGTCAAGCCATGCCTTAGGTAGCTGCAAAAGACCTCCGATACCCCAAAAACTCCGAGATCCCAATTGGGAGCCAGAACCAGAATCTGGCCCTCTTTTGTGGCGAGGGGAGCTTGGAGCTCAGGATCTACTGAACACCAAGACAAATCCCCATGAGAAAGCTTAAACAGCAATTCAAGCAACTGCATGAACAAATTCATAAATCAGAAAAATACTACCAGGTCATACCCATGGAAGAAGTTGGTAAAAGGTGGTGGTCCTGGGCGGAGGGATGTCAGCAGCCTCGTCTTTCAGTGTACTGTATTGCTTGCATTTAAGAAAGTGGTTGTTGAAGCAAATTCAATCCACAATTTTAAGAAAAATATGATAAAAATGTTAATCTTGAGAGAGAATTAATGCACCAGGTACAAATGGGTGGTAATAAAGGTGTGACAGGCATTCAGGTGGGTATCTTTGGACATCTACTGAAGGACACATCAAAAAGAGGCATTTCATCACATTCAGTACCATTTTATAAAGTTGTCTGCCTCTTGAGTTAGGAAGTGAGTACTGTATTTATTGGTTTTGTACTTCAGGGTTCTGTTTGTTCAAATTCTGTAATATATTGCTGTCATGCAAGTGGAGAGTTGATATACCTGGTATTCAAAATTTCTTCCAGGCGTGTATGGCATGATGGTAGGATGATGACAAACCCCTCTGAATTGGCTAAGCCTCTTGGCAAAGGAGTGAAAACTACACATCGACTTCGAGTTTTGAATAAAGTTTTACGGGATAAAATCACTGATGTAATGTCTACAGGGAAAGTGTCAGATGAGTTGTGTGGTGTTAGTCTTGAAGTGTCTGAGGTTTGTATCCACCATTAATATTGTCTGCATACATTGCAATTATCTAGAATATATGGTCATATGCTTTACAAATTTAATTTCTTATAATTTTTCAATATATTATAGTAATTCATCTTTTATAACAATTTGTAGTATTTTATTAGAGTAAATTATAGTTTTTGATAAGGTACACTTTTTCACAACATTTTCAAAGAGCTGATTTGATAACCCAAACTTACTAGTAATCTTAATTCATGTTCAAGTCTTGAGTCTGCCTCTTGAGTTAGGAAGTGAGTACTGTATTTATTGGTTTTGTGCTTCAGGGTTCTGTTTGTTCAAATTCTGTAATATATTGCTGTCATGCAAGTGGAGAGTTGATATACCTGGTATTCAAAATTTCTTTTGAATACCTTTTAATCTGAACAGAAATTTGAGTTGCTGAAATTTCTGCCAAATGAGAAACCTGAATAGTTGTGGCACACTGCGGATTTGAATGTTTGTTTTACAACTTTTGGAGCAGGACTCTTTCCATCTCTGTCAGGTCATTGCAGAGTGGGTGGCTTCTGGCACGGTTGAGGCAACTGCATCTCTTTGCTGAGTGTCTCGCCTATTCACAGTCCCTGAGTGGGACTTGGTGGGGCTCCAATTCATCCTCAATCTTCCAGGGTACAGTATTCACCACCTGCCGCACTTTCCGCATGACTCACTTTAGTATGTCCCCATACATCTGGAGTTAGGAGAGTGGTTACGTTTTGACATAGGACATGAGGCTTACCACCCCAGTGTCCTTCTCTTCAACTTGAATCTGGCTCCCCCATAGTTTAACCAGAGTGGCTTAGGTCGTGGTGGCTCATCTTTGTTTGTTGGGGGTTCAAGTTCTGCCTACCTTTACAACTAGCTGATTTGGGCCCCTAGTCAACCAACATGTCTGCTAGCCCTCGATCTGGCTAGCCAGGTTTTCTCTTTCACAAAGTTGACATATGATGTATTCGACATTTGAGTTTTGAGAAAGCTGCCAGATACGTCTGTATCCCAGGCATAATCTGGCCACTATGACATTACATTGCCGAGTTCCTGCTCTGTTAGTTCCATATTAAATGTCTCCATTTGGTATTCATCATAATATTTACAGCTTTCGGGTCTTTTTGAATTTGTTAGGTCAATAAAATGTTCATTGGGTATTTGTTTTAGTCTGATCCATCAATACAAGGTCTCTTTGTCACCCTTGTATCCAGTAGGCAATGAGACTCTCTGGTACCTGGTGTTGACCATTAACAACCAAAGCATAAACATAGGGAGGCTACTGAGGCTGATGCCAGAAAGGGACATTTCATTATACTGAACTCTATTTTAGTTTATTTAATAATACAAGACTTATTAGTATTTAAAGTATATATAATTCTTTTTATTTTTAACAGGTGAAAGTATTACCAGACTTCTTGGGCATCAATGTGCATTGGATGTGCACAGGTACAGGTGAGGATAGACAAATAGAAGAGGTGCTGATGAGAAATGCCAAAGCGATTCGCCATGAAATAAGTCAAATGCGTGTTATTGGGCACGTACCTCCCATCACTTTTGTGAAAGGTGAGGACTGACTGATTTCACTTTAATCTTTTATATGCAATTAAATTATCATTTATGTGGCATGAAATAATTGTATCCATCAGTACAACTAATTCATGCCACAGTAAGCTTGTGTGATTGATACATAATGAATAATGACTACAGTTTTAACAAGAACTCTTTGTGTATGCTGTTTGTACACACACATTAATTGTTTGAATAATAAACATTTCTGTGCTGCCACATTTAACTGCTCCCTAAAGTAAAACCTGTGTTCTTGTATAGGATCATACAGAGTCAGGCATTATAAGATCATCCAGAGTCAGGCAATATAATATATTGACACATACCACAGGGAACTTTACAAATGTCCCTACATGACTGTTATAGATGCTAGGGAGGCTCTGAATAATAAAAATTCCAGTTCAGATTGAGCTGAATTGGCATCACAAGTGACTGTCAAAAGAGAGCTTTAACTAAGTACTAGTTGGCCTGCCTGGTTATTTTCATGTACACCTTTGGGTTCCTTGACATGAGCCACCTTATGTGCTACCTGACACTTGTCCCATGTATAACTGGCATACTGAAATGGGAATTTTCTGTTAACTTTTACTTGTCTGCATCCTTTACACTTTTCTGGTACACAGTGGGCTATGCTTACACTGGATATTTACTAGTCTTTGAATGTTTGTAGTACTCTCTGAGGAGAGTGCCTTCGGCTCCCCGGAGCTATACCAGGCTGATGTGTATATATTAGACCGTGGCAATGGTCAATCGATGGAGTTCTAGCCTACCGGGGACCACGAACCAGAACCTGGGCCCCTCAGAGAGGCATGAGGAGCAATTTCCTATAGACGCCCCCATGTAGTTGGAAGCAGTGTATGTCCATCAGTCTATGGAAGCAGTCCATCTACCAGGTCAGGCACCCAGAAAGGTAGGAATCCCAAACAAACTACAGCTGACTAGAAATTGCAAACCATAAGCCGAATGAGCAAGTAGAACTCTCCAATCAGAAAACAAGCAAACAAGTATCACATCACCACAGCCACCGTGTCACTGTCTGTGCAGCTCCCTCCTCCACGGGAGGGTGAGGAGGGAGCCCCAGACCTCCCGTGCCCCAGTTCTGAGGCTGTGGTGTTGAGTGGCAGTCGATAGACTCTGGCTCCATCCTTAGAGCAGTGTTATGCTTTACGGCGTTCCTCTGTTGTGTGTGCGAGCCAGGAGTAATTCAAGAAGTACAGTGTACTGGGGCTGCATATGCCTAGGGTCACCTTCCATAGGTGCCCTGTAAATACTGCCCTTGCAATTTGGGGTTACCTTCCACAAACTGTTCGGGGACTACCTCCGCAGGGTTCTTTTGCTGCTCGGTGATTGCCCGCCATTGGGGTTAGCTGAAATTTTTTCCCTACCATTGTTTGGCCAAGGGTAGGAGGTAGTATTGTCGCTGGCTGGGGCACAAGGTACTGTGGTGCTGTCTTATAATATGCATACCAGCCAGTTCTGTTCCTCCTGGAGATGTTGTGCTTTTGTGGGGGTGTTTCTTTTCTTTTAATTTATTTTACTTGGTGGGGGTCTGCCTGGTGTGGCTGTAGGACCACTTGTATTATTTTGGTGGCCTTCTGCTAGGTCCTCGTGATTGCACATATCACAAGGATTCAGCTTCTGTTCGTTTGTTTGGTAGTTCTGGGATAACTGGTTAGCAGTACCTTGCCTGGGCTTCCCTTAGCAGTCAGCCTAAGGGCCCTGGAAACCCCCATTGGGGCTCATTGGTCCAACGGATGCATCCTCCGAGTCTCGTCTCGCTTTGTGCGAGTTTGAAGGTTGCTCTGTCCCCTTGTCTCAGGGTGACACTCACCGTTTTTGCCTCCGCTATGTTGCCTGTTGGGTCAATGACACAGTTGACTCAGTCCTGTGAGTGGTGTTCCTTGCTTGTACTCCAGTTCACTCAATCCTGTGATGCTGATGTTCAGGTGCAGGCAGCTTCTGTGTTGTATGCGAGGTTTAAGTTGCTGCAATGTGCTAGGTTGGTGTCTTTCTGGATGGGAAAGGGCAGACTGCCCTTTCATTTCGTTGGGGGCGTGACATGTGTTCTGTCAAACCCGCATGCTTGAGTGGTGGGAGTTGACTAAATAAGGTTTAGTCAGACCTTTTAAATAAAGTCCTTCAGGTTTTCCTGGGGGTCGAGTTGGAGTACCTCAATGTGTACTTGTTTGCCCCTGTGCTTCCTCGCGATATTGACCAGGTGCAGCTTCACGTGCAGGTTCCCTCCTTTTCGGCGTCTCTGGTCGCTGAGGATTTGTGCACCCATGGGCATCTGGCTTCGGTCTTGCGCTTCGTTTTCCTGTTGGTGCTGTCTTCGGACTGGCTTGAGGAGGATGTGGAGGAGCTGGGTTCCAGGCCAGCATCCAATGTACTAGCCTCGGCTGCCTTATTGAAGTTGTTTGCGCGATTCTGAAGGAAGCGGTGTTTTGGTTCTTTGCTTCTAGCCTCGCGTACCAACAGGCGGTGCTCGTCCACTTTTTGGAATCTGCTTGGGCCCTGGTTCTTAGATTTTTGTCCCTGTTTTGTCTGTTGCTGTTTGCAGAATCTGCAGTGGTGCATTTTCTGCAGGCACCTTCATCTAGTTGCTGCCCTATGCTGACTTGTTGGTTCTCCAGGGGGCCATGGGGATCCTGCTCAGAAGGGTCGTGCCATGGCTCGGGATTCCTTTGGTTGTTGTAAGCCAGTGGTGCCAGATTTGGGGCTGGCCCTGGCCCCTTCTCCAGAGGGGGAGGGACCAGGGAGGGGAATGGCCTGTCCCGTTTCATTCTCCTGTCCACGGAATGGATGGTCGATGCCGACTCGTTCCGTTGCCTCTGCTGGACTTTCGGGCGCCTGGAGGTGGACCTCTTTTGTGTCAGCCTACTCGAGGTGTCTTCCGGTGTATATGCGGCGCCCTTTCCCGACTGCGAGGCTGCCGAGGTTGATGCCTTTAGGCTGGACTGGTCGAAATGGGATTACCCTGTACCTCTTCTTCCCGGTTGGGTTGTTGCTCTGGATCCTGGCTCGCTTGGAGACTTACCAGGGGAGAGTAAGGCCCATGTTGGCCCCTTGGTGGCCAGCCCAGCCTTGGTTTCAGGTGCTGCTTGCTCGATGTCCAAACCCGAGGGTCTTCACGCGGCTCCGCCTTTTCCAGCAGATTAGTCCAGTCTGGTGCATGGCTGGTTCAATCTTCTCCGATCTTCACGTCTGGTCTTTTTGATGCGGGTTTATTACAATGTGTATGATGATCAGGTGGCTTCGTTGATGTTGCCCCACCTGCGAGTTTCGTCTTGATGGCAGTATGAAGTTTCCTGGCGGTCCTTTCAGCACTCTTGTCTCTTCGTAGGTTGTCTTTGATTTCTATTCAGGTTGTTTTTTTCTTTCTCTCTTGGTTGTTTCAGGACCATCATTTTACGCCGAATACTGTCGGTAATACTGTGTTTTAGTTTTAGTATGACCTGGGCTGACATTCAGGCACAGGGTTTTTGGAGGTCGAACAGGGTCCTAGCCGCACGGTACCTCGTTAAAGTTCCTGGCCTTTCTTGGACTTGTGTAGCCTTGGGTCGCAGGTTGTAGCCAGTTGTCTTGACTTTGAGTTGAGAAGCAAGTGGCTGCCACCTCCTGGGTAAGTCCCTCTTTTCTGGGGGGAGCCCCGTCGGCTCCCCGGAGCTTTACCGGCTGATATGCTAATGTCAGACTTTGGCATCAGTCATGTGTATGGAGTTCTAGGGCCTACCGGGGACCACGGCCAGAACCTGCCCCCTCAGAGAGGTAAGGGGAGCAATGGCCTATAGAAACCCCCGTGTGGTTGGAAGCATTCTATGTCTGCCATCGACCGGGTCAAGCATCCAGAAAGGTAAGCATTCCAAAACAAACCCCTATTCTGGTGAAAATTGCTACCTAAAGCCGAACTAGTGGATAGAACTCTTCAACAGAAAACAAGGAAACTAGTATGACGTCATACGTCACCTCGCCGCTGTCTGCGCAGCTCCCCCCTCCCCGGGAGGGGGAAGGGGGAGCCCCAGACCTCCCACGCCGGCTATCCATCCATCAGTTCTTCGGCTGATGCTATAGGCAACGGTTGTGTGCTCCGGCTCCAGTGGTTGTTTCAGCACTGTACCTAGAGTGTGGTGTCTGTTTTCTAGGTGGTGCGTGAGCCGGGAGTGATTCTCCAGTACTCGGGCTGCATGCGCCTAGGGTTCCCTTCCCTAGGTGCCCTGTAAGTACTGCCCTTGGGGCTTGGGGCCACTTTCCACAAGTTCCTTGGGTCCTGCCCCTGCTTGGCCGTTTACTGCTTGGTTTTCGGCCGCTCTTTGTGTGCTCGGGTGTTCTGTCTCCCTTGTTCGCCTTAGAGTAAGGGGCAGTTTTTGCACTGGTGGGGCGCAGGGTACTGTGCAGTTTGTCTTTACCAATCATAGCGGCCGGCTCTATTCCGCTTGGGTACGCTGTCCTCTTGCGGGGTTTTCTTTTTCTTTTTGTTTATCTACCTGGTTGGGTCCTCTGTTTTCGTTCTTGCCCCTTGTGTTCCTTGTGTTCTGAGTATTTTCTGGTGGTACCCCCTGCTAGGTCCCCGTGAGTGTACACGTCCCGAGGGTTCAGCTCTTAGAAAGTTGTTTGGTAGCTTTGGGTGCCGGTTAGCAGTACCCTGCCTGGGATTACCTGAGCGCGAGTCCTCTTATAGTAAACGCTCGGGACCCTGGGAAACCCCTGGGGGCGCGCGGGTCCGATGGATGTGACCCCAGAGTCCCCCCCCTCGCTTCCAGCGAGTTCGAGGGTTGCTCTCACCCTTTGTCTCTGGGTGACTCTGTTTTGCCTCCGTCTGCTGCCTGTGGGGTCGGTGACACCTTCGACCCGGAGTCCTGCGAGTTTGGTTGCTCGTTGTGGCTCGGTTACCCAGTTGTGCTAACAAAGCGGGTGCGGGCAGCAGGGGCATTGCACTTGAGCCTTGGTGGTGGCAACGTTCTCGTGGTTTCCTCCCCGGGAGCCCCGGGGCTGCCCCG